AAAAAAAAAAGAAAAGAAAAAATCATCAAAAAAATATTAATTTGGAATATGCAATATAAGTTGGCAATAAAAATGAGAGATGTATATTTTTTGGCCTTAAACATCACTTTTAACTATTTTAAAATTTAACTTTATTTAAAACTATACCCTTCCATAGCTTGGATTTGCTGTGGTGTGTGGCGGTTGTGCCGCCTTCTCTTTGGTCGATTTTGAGTCACCTCTATATTTTCGCCGCCAGGTTTGTTTTCAATATCGTTATCTACTTCTATGGGGACATGATGATCATCTCCCGACATGTTTGACGAGTTCATATTTATTAGGTTCCCTGTGGAAGAAGATGCAACTTAATTATCATTCATCTACTTTATCTAGACGATCGATTTGTTTGAGGAGTCGAATAAGAAAACATAATTAAATTGATATAAGAAAATTCGGATTGACGAGTTATTTACTCATTATAAAGGTTTCGTCTGTGATACCGCTTTGTCGAGATCTAAGGCGCTTCAAAAGGTGACATTTTGAAGAAACATTTTCTATGTTGGTGTTAAGGCGATGAACGGAGGCCAAAGGCAGAGGAAAATTTGAAGTGAGAGAATTTGGTGAACAAATAAGTACACTTAAATAGAGCTACACATTGTAAATGTAATATGGAAAATAAAGAAAATATGAAATAATTTGAAATAAATTTTATTTTGTTTTTTCAATTAAAAAATCCAAATAACAATACAAAAATTAAGGGCTCTGATCATTTTATATTTACTCATGACAATTGCTCATTTACTAAAGGAAAAAAAAGAAGACTAAAAGCTTCATGATAGACTTGATAGCACAATGGAAAAGTATCGCGAAAATTTAGCGATATGGGATGAAAACGCGTAAGAAAATCGCGTTGTAGTAATGGACAACTTTTTACAGTGTAGATTACGAAATTTTGTTCTGCTTATGGCAATTGTTATTTTACAGAATTTATGACGATAGGATTCTCAAAATCTATTAAAACATAATGCTTTTACTATCGTATTACATATTCTTCGTATCTCGAATCCTATTATAAGAGCACGTTTCGGCACAAAATAAATGTTGTCGGGTATGTGTGCGCGTGAGCACAGGTATGTGTGTGCATGCGCGTGTGCTTGTACTATCACATTTCACATTATTTATATTTTGAATCCTATTATAAGAGTCTGTTTTGGCAAAGATTAAATGTTACCATGTATGCATTCATTTATGTGAGAAGATAAATTATTTCATTTATTCGGAGTTTCGATGATTTGTATACATAAATAGTGATAACAGATGAAGTTAAATATACAGTTGTTTGCAGGCATGGAAGCAGTATTTGACAGTAGAGTTTAAGAGAGTGTCTTTGTTTAAGGTGACTTCTAGGCCAAACAGTCCTGTTTGCCCCTGTTCCACATTAAGCTAAGCATGAATATTTACTTAATACAAGTGAAAAACACAAAAATATGGAGGAAATAGAATATATAGATTTCAATATGTAAAAAGTTGTTTAATAGTAATTTGCCAACCATGAATTATAAAGTTTGGGAACTGCTAAGGTAACATGACGGACCATCCCGTCGGAGTTTGTAACCGTCAGAGATAATTGATTTAACGGTTACAAGCCATGACGGTATAGTTTCGTAACGGGACCGTAGCATCTTCGTTTTATGTTTTTAGAAATTTCTTTTATAAGTCTCTCAAGATGTATGAAAGTGACAATTTCCCCTGAAAATTTGCACGTTAAAAATGGCACAATAACTTTCTAGCTCAATTAGTTATTAATTTTTGAATCAATCCCTAAATTGATTTAGGGCTTTTAATATATATATATATATATATATATATATATATATATATATAT